TAGAAAAATCCAATACTTGAAATTTAAATAGAGGTATTGTTGATGTAATTTCTGATTTGGTGATAAAGGAACATGTGGAGCTAAACTGAAAAGTGTGTTAGACCAATCAAGGAGAAGAAAAAGATCAAGGGGCGTCAAACTTAAGACTTTGGCACATGCTCCAACACTTAAGTTAGTATGTGTCCTAGAAAGAAGAAAAGTAAAAGATAGAAAGTGGTAACAATAGAGAAAACAAAGAGAGTGTAAAGTTAAGAATGATGCATACTTGGTCTGATCCTTCTTTCATATTTCATGGATGATGACGTGGACAGTTGTGTGTAGGCACTAATGACACAATAACTAGAATATTATTGATGTGGTCATTAAGGTATAACATATGTAAATATATGGGGCTAACAATATTTAACTATTAATAATTGTAGTCATTAATTTTTTGTCATCATCCATACTTTACAATATCTACTCCCCCAAAAAGGAAATTAAAAAGAGATAAACAATACTAACACTAAGTTCAAAATAATTATTATTGGTTACTTTGAATATATGTATGTAACAATATTTTTGGTCTATTGTGCAATCTTCTTTTCAAAATATCTTTATCTTATTTTTAAATTACCCTTCTCCTTTATCTCTGTCATATTCTAATTGACGATATTATTATTATTGACAATGAATTTTTTTTCCTCTCTTCTATTTTTCTTTTTTTACTTCCTCTTTCTCTTTCCCTACTTTTCCTCCTCAAGCTATTGTGGTTACTTCTATCGATAATGATTTCACTTCTCTTCTTTTTTTTTTTTTCTTTTTTGGTTATCTTTTTCATTTTAAAATCATTATTTTACTCAAAATGACTCACAGAATTAGAAAAACTCTTTTTGGTTTTAATTTTTATTATTTTTATTTTCTAAGGAAAAATCAATGAAAAAAGTTTGATTATGTGACTTTAAGTTTTTTTTAAAAAAAATTTTGAATTGAGATTGATCTAGGTTTTGAAAATGATGGTTGGAGTATTTTTTTTTATTTTGATTGTTTAAGTGAAGTGCTAACTTTTTTTTTTTTTTTAATGTAGGCATTGGAATTGGAGATTTTGTGAGTGGTCCTTGTTTTCGAACCATCGACTTTGTTCTTATTCTCATTTCTCTCTTCAAGTTTTAGCTCACTTTCTAAAAAGATTGCTATGTCAATAAAGTAAAGAACCAATCTCATTATAATAATTTCTACTATATAGCATCTTTTTCGAAGATTTTTATTTTTAAAATATAAAGATACAAATATAAAAATAAAAAATATTTCTACTAAAGACATCTAGACTTAAATATTTATTAAAAGTTTAATGCCATATTAATTGTACATCTCATTGTTAAATTTATATTATTTTTTATATTTCTTTCAAAAGACAATTTTTAACAAAACAAAAATTTAACTTTGCTAATGGAAATGACTTTTTTTATTTTTTTCTTCACAAATATTTCTTAAAATATGCACTTTAGTGATGATTATAATAATAAAACACTCATACATATTGAACATAAACATATATAAAGTGAAAGTGAAGATTATTCAGGTTAAAAATATATGAATTGAAATGAACATTAGATGTTTAATTTCAAACTAAAAGATCCTGTGATTAAACTTTATTTATCTTTGTCATATTTTTTTTGCATCTTTAATTTTATAAAAATAATACCTTAATTTGCATAACAAAAATTTATGGTTAAATCATGATTCATTATAACAAAATTATCATTTTTGTTTCATATCTACGGGTTAAAATATTGATTTTAAATTATGATTTAGATATAATAACAAAATTATCATTTTCGTTTCAAATTCTTACCTTTGAAAGGAACACATACACAAAAAGGAAAATTAAAATCCATTTATGCTAAAAATATGTAAAATTAGTCATCTCTTGATATTGATGGCCACATGCATGCATCGATGTCATTAAGATCTTGAATTTAAGAGCTACCAAAAGTATGGAAAGATGTATGTTTACTTAATAAAAACACTATTAAAACCATGGTTAATATGCATGAGCTTTAAATGATAATTCATTATAATAGAATTTGCATACAAATTTTCAATTCTAACTACATACATACACAAAAAAATAATATTAGGGGTTTAATATCAAATTAATAAAGCTTATGGCCATCTAAGTGTATTTATTTTGATTTTATTCTCAAAACAAATTTTTTGCCAAAATAACACCTTCATTTAGTAAATGAAAATGATTTATTTCATTTTATTTTCTTATCATTCATTCCTTGAAATACAAGCTTCTAGGGATATTCATATGTTTTATAGAATACAATTGCATAAACAAGAGATAAATTAGAAAATATTTATTATTTATTTGATTTTATATAATAAAAAAATAATTTACTCTCCATTTATTTCTATATAATGTTAGGTTTTTACACAATAAATACAAATATTAAATATTTTTAACTTCTTTGAATATAAATTATAGTTTAAATAAAAAATTATAATATGAAAGTCATCATATTAATTTCAATGTTTTCAAGTATTAATTTTTTTTGAATAAATTAACATAGAAAATAGAATATGAAGAGTTAAAATATTTGTCTATATATAATTATATTTCAAACAATAAATATGCTCATTAATGATATATATTACATAATTATTTATTTGAAATAAAAAAGTAAATTATGAAACGTTAGCATGTTAATTTTTTTGTTCATATTTTAGTAATTAATGATTTGAAAATAAATATTTAAAATATATATAAATCAAATTTTCAAACTTTTCAATCAATAAAGCAAATTATAATTATAGGAAAAAAATCTATACAATATAGTCGTATTAATTTCAATCTTTTCATAATCAATTTATTTTTAAAAAATTATCTATATTCTACTAATCATTAAATTTAAAAAAATGATAGAGATATTAAAAGTCACAAAAAAATTATTATATTAATTTGGATTAAATATAAAATGGCCCTTATAATATATTTTTGTGTCAGTTTGATACCTAAAGGAATAAAATTATTAGTTTGATCTTCCAATTTTTATTCTATCATCCATTTTTATACTTGAAACTAACTTCGTCAGTTAATTTATTAAAAAAAATTTAGTCAATGTCACATCATCAATAGTCATATTAGCTTTAAAAATTTTAAAAATTTTAAATAATTCTAAATAATTTTAATAATTTGAATTTTTTAAAAAATATATAAAAAATTAAATATTGAAATATTCAAAAACTTTTAAAAATATATGAAAATTAAAAAAATTCAAAAATCTCAAAAATTCAAAAAAAATCTAAAGAAATTCAAAAAAATAAACTTATAATAAAAATAACATTTTCTTCAAATTTAAAACAAACATCACAAAAACTTTAAACAATTGAAAATAAAAAAAAATGTAAATTTTTTTTGAAAAAATCTAAAAATTGTTAAAAATTATGAAATTTTTTTCATTTTTTTGAATCTTAAAATTTTAATTTTTTATATATTTTATTTTTTTTAGCTTTCTTTAATTTCTTTTCATTTTTTATTAATTAATTTTTTATTTTTAAAAAAATTTTAATTTTTATAATTTCTTAGAATATTATTTTAAAATTTTTTAATTTTTTTGAAATTTTTAATTTTTTAATAAAATTTTAAGATTTTTTTAATTTTCAAAAAATTTCAAAAAATTTTAGATTTTTTATTTTCAATTTTTAGGATTTTATGAATTTTTTAATTTTAAGAAATTTTTTAATTAAAATTTTTATTTTTTTGAATTTTAAGATTTTTTTTGAATTTTTATTATAATTTTGAATTACTTTGAATTTTTTAAGTTTTCATAAATTTTTTTAATTTTTAAAAGTATTTCACATAGTTTTTAATTTTTTATAATTTTTAAAAATATTTTAATTTTTAAGAATTTTTAAAAATTTTAAAAATTTTAAAATTTTTTTAAAATTTTCGTTTAATGTTGATGTGACGTGATGTTGATTGGACTTTTTCTTACATATGTTAATGTCTTATTCATGTCATGTAAGCATGTGGACTAATAGCATTAGTTTAAAGTACCAAAGTGATAACAAAATGAAAGTTCAAGTATTAAATTGACAAATTTTTAATATATCAAATTGACAAAAAAATAGTATAGTACAAGACTATTTTTATATTTATCCCTATTAATTTCAATAAAGGATGGATCAAATTAAATAAGTTTAAAGCTAATATTTTTTATACATCTTTTCATAACTTCATATATGATAAATATTTTTATAGATGGATGATTAAATTTAACAACCTATTTGTATCTATCACTCACTTAAAATTTTAAATAAATTTAATTTCCTATAATTTCAATCAAGACTAATGTTTTTTTAATATATATTAACTATTAAAATTTTATTATAATCAAACAAATAATTATACATTTTAAATTTATTTGAAATTTGGCATGCATGATTCATATGAGTAGAGTATAAATTACAAAGATTCTATTAACAAAATATAAATGTATAAAAACAAAATAAATCAACTTTGTTAAAATAAATCTCAAGTTTTTAAATAAAATAAAAAGATTTTTATTAATTAAAAATAAAATCAATATAAAATTAAATCAAATTTGAACGTGAAATAATATAATTTTTTCCTATAAATTTATGAATTATTGAAGGTCAAGGTAAATTTTGTACAAAAAAATATTTATTATTAAACATTAATACTTTTTGGAAAACTTCTGATTTATGGTCCTTTAAAAGTTCAAATGAACTTTCCATACAAATTAAAATTGCTAAATTTTAAAACTCAAACGTCTTATTTTGGCTTTTGCTGTTCAAAAAAAAAAAAAATTCCGTGCGTAAAGATGAGTGCATAGCGTAGCAATTAGCAAGAATTTCATGTGAATCCCATCCCACACCAAAAATCTTCCTGCGTAAAGTGAGGTCAAATAGCCGTTATAAAAATACTGTAATTTCAACGGTCACCTTTTCTATAGATTCAAAATCAAAATCCCTCCAACAAAACTCCTCATCTTACTTGCAAGAAGCCACTATATGATACTAACAAAAGCCCGTTTAAAAAATAAACCAAGAAAAAACAACTCTTATCTCAAATATCCTTTAGCCTCGCTCTGTTTCTTTCCTGTCTACAATGGGTGAGGAGAAAGAAAGGAAAATTCCAGTGTTTACAGTGATAAAGAACGGAGCAATTCTCAAGAACATTTTTGTCATCAACAAACCACAAGAAATGGAAGACGAAGAAGACCCACATAATCAAACTGAAGAAATTTTGATTGTTGGTAGACACCCAGATTGCAACATCATGTTAACTCATCCTAGCATCAGCAGATTCCACCTGCAAATTCACTCCAAACCCTCTTCCCAGAAACTCTCTGTCCTCGACTTATCATCTGGTAGTAAATTCCTTACCCCCCCCCCTTTTTTTCATTTATTCACGTTTCTTGTTATCAAATCTTTCTGGGTTTTCTTTCTTTTGACGTTTTATTCAAGTTTCATGCGTTTCTTGGTGTTCTTGGGTTGATTATCTTGTTTTGTTTTACTTGGGATGCAGTTCATGGGACCTGGGTTTCGGGGAAGAAGATTGACCCTGGAGTTGTGGTGGAACTGAATGAAGATGATACTATAAAAATTGGTGGCTCAACTAGAATTTATAAGCTGCATTGGATTCCTATGAGTAGTGCCTATGATATGGAAAACCCCTTTTTATCGGCTATGGATTTACCCATTGAAGAAGAGAAAGAGGAGGAAAGTGTAGAGGAATCACATCAGGTGAGGGTTTTTGAAAGTGTTCCTATTTTTTGGTTTTATATTTATTTATCTTTTACAATTGAAATTGAACAGAAAGATTTGCAGGATGTCAATATGTTATGCTGTAAATTTTAATATCTGAAGTTATGTTCTTCGTTCTAGTTTCCTTTGTTCCTTTTATTATGGAATGTGTAGGATGAAAGTTCTTTATTGGTAAGGATGAATTTATTAGAGGCAATGGGTCATTGGTAGTAAACCTGCCAGGGTATGACGCTGCATTTAGGACTGAAATGTTTTTCCCTTTTCTTCTGATTCTTTTGGGAACTTTAGGGGGAGAATACAATTTTAACTGAAAATGAATGTAATGAGGGCAAATATGCATTGCCGGAGGAAGGACAAGAAGAAGAAACATTTCAGGTGAGAGTATGTTGCTTCTAAAGCAGTACAAGGCATAAATTGAAGTGTTTTTTTTTTTTTTGTACTTTTCTTTTCTAATCATTTTTGGTTTTGTACAGGATCAGAGTTCTGTACCAGCAGAAGATGAAGAACTTGACGCAATGGATGCGGTTTTGGAGGGTTTAGTTTCTTTGTTTTCTGATGAGAGTGCAGGAGTACTTATGAAGAAAGAGATTCCATCAGCACCTCCGATGCCTGAAAATATGAATTATTCAATATATTGTGACGAATCTGAGAGCACATTGAGGAATAACCTTGGAGAGAGGGAACTTTTATGTCTCCAGTCTGAGCTTTCAAGCAATATTTCAGAAGAACTGGATATGGTTGTTGAGGGGGTTATCTCTGAATCCCGAAATCAAAAGTTCGGCAAAGATAACAAGAGCATCCTGCCAGAGACTGTCACAGAAGCAATATCAGAAGGAGAGAACCTAGAGAGATCCCTAAGAAAATCAGAGCTAGAAACTGATCACTCAGAGAATAGTGATCCTTCATTTGTAGAACTGGATAACTATTCAGCCAATGAAATAGTTGAAGAAACTGAGAACAGAGGACCACTGCAAGCGAGCCAGCAAAAGAGGATTGTTTCAAGACTTTCCACTGCTCCTCACCTGATAGAATCAATTAACTCCGCTTTGCAAGACGAAGATGTACTTTTGAATATCAAATCTCAACAAGTACAAAAAGAAAACCAGACCCCCAAGCTCCTTTCTTCTTTGAAAGGAAAGAAGGAGAATGCTGCAGCAGATCAAGAGTCAATCTTGACGGTGAACCTGGATTCTACATGTTCTGATGGATGCAAAGACTGTCTCTCTGGAAATGTTAAGGATGCTGAAAACCAGACCCTATCACGGAAAGACTATCAAAACGAAAACACAAGTTTCTGTTCTGCTCCTCTCCCAACAGAATCAGTCAACTCATCTTTGCCTATTGGTGGTGAAGTTTTCTCTGAGTTTACAGATGATAAAAGGAACCCAACCCCACAATCTTTCTTTGCTCCTGCATTGCTGTATGAAGACGAGAATTTAGAGAGCTCTCCCCTGAGGTTAGAGAAAAAATCCAACTTGCATAGTATTTGGTCCAGAAGAGGTAAATCTGCTTCTGTTCTTCAGATTCAAACTGGGAGGAGCACGGGAAAAGCTGTTGAAGGCACCAACAATGCAGAAAATAAATCAATTCTAAAATCTCTTTTTGTTTGCTCAGAAGAGGCGGAAGAAGAAATCTATACTCCAGACAAGGAGAATTTCACCCCAAACACTCTTTTAATGAAAGCGTTGAAAAGAAAGGGCAAGCTAGAAGAAATTGAACGTTCTTCAGAGGTTACTTTTAGCCCTGATCTTCAGCCAGAAGACAACGTGGTCGCCTCAGACAAAGAAAATCAGACACCAAAACTTATCAAAGACCTTAAATCAGCAAGAAGGGCATCTCCAAATCAACCAAAGTTAGAACAAGAGAGAATGGTGTTCAAGGGAAAAGTAGAAAGGGTGCCATTTCAATCTCTGCTGGTGGACTCTGCTTGCAAAAGTGTATCGGAAGCCTCAGTCCCCAAGACTACAGCACAAAGTAGCAATTCTAATACTTTCAATTATAAATCAACAGAGAAGAAGATTGCTCTTCCATCTTCGGTGAGTTTTGAGAAAATCTTAATGCCTGATTTCAAGAATTCATTACTAATGGTTTGTAGTATTCTTGCCAAGCATTTGTGTAATAACTAAAATTCATTTGCAGAACAAATATGTTGCAGAGGGAAGGAGGACTTGGACCATGGTAGCAGACACTACTTCTCTGATGGACAAGGAATCAAGGAAGTCATTAGAGCTTTTACAAGGTCTCAAAGGGATGCGATTGATCATTCCAAGAATTGGTAGCTAAATTATAAACATAATCATCTCTTTTATCATAATGATAAATAATTTCAATGCTAACTTGCCATATTCTTTTTTGACAAATTTGGATATTATTTTTTTAAAGTCATAAGGGAGCTGGATTGTTTGAAGCGACGTGGAAGTCTATTCAGAAGAACAACAGAAGCCTCTTCAGTTTTGAAATGGATTGAAGACTGTATGTTGAAATCAAAATGGTGGATCCATGTCCAGAGCACTATGGAGGAAGGAGGGCCAATAGCACCAACTCCACCTGCCACTCCTGAATCTCAGTTCAGTGAAGGCAGTATGGGAAATCCCTTTGGGACAACGAGGTCAGCACCATTTTCAGCCCGGGGAGGTCTAATGGAAATTGCTTCACCCACAGCAGAAGATCATATCCTTGATTGTGCCCTTCTTTTTAGGAAAATGAAAAGTGATGGACAGTTCGTCCTGCTTAGTAACGATGTCACGCTAAAGATCAAAGCCATGGCAGAGGTGCTGATGTTTCCACCATGATATAATTATCCTCTTTCTTACTTCTCTTATTTCTTTTTCTTTGCGACTTATATGTTTAACTTTTCTTCTTATTATTTATTTCAGGGTTTGATCTGTGAGACAGTGCAAGAATTCCGCGAAAGTCTGGTGAGCCCCTTCTCTGAGAGGTTTATGTGGGTTGACAGCTCTCCTAGAGGACAGACTTGGTCAGTCTTGGATGATGTAGTTTTGAGGGACAAGTATAACCGTTTCCCCCCAAGGAAGGCATCCAAGGGAGATGTGAAGGGTTTGAAACTCATCTTGCTTCATAATTCCCACTATGGACAGATCAGTTCAGTCCGCTAAAATAATTGAGCCTGTGGTTTAATACTAGATGTTATGTTTTTGAACATAATTGCTTACGATAAAGCATATACCATTGTTGTCCTCTTTGTCCAAATAGTATTATTGGTTTCACTATATAGTGCTGGCTGGGATAAAAAATAAACCAGGCATGATGTGGTGTCTTATAATTATTCACATAATCATGCACTAAGGTTCACTGGCATATCATTGTTCCTGTGGCATTGGAGGCTGGGGAAGATACTGAGGAGGTGGCAATGGATAAGGCTGGTAGTATTGATGATATCTCCTTTCTGAAGGTTAGTTGGTTCCAGAGTCAATCCAATACAATTGAGCATCTTTCCCTGCTAGCAGCATAAGAATTTTGCCAGGTTCTATGTTGCTAGAACATCAGAGGCAGAATTTGGTCCTAGTCAAAAGTAAAGACATGAGTAGACTAACAAATGTTTATTGCTGCAATTCTTAACGAAATATATCATTTTCTGAAGTATTAGCCATATCTGGTATTTGGTCCACATGGCTTTGGACGATTGGAAGGAACCTGTTTCCAGTACAGCGCCAGATGAGATGGATTCTTAGCCAAGGCCAACTCAAAAAATGGATGGTGAAAGTAGTGCCCAAATTCATGCTTAAGTGAGAAGGTCTTATTTGCTATACAATTATTGGGGAAAAAGTTTCTATGCTTTGATACAACAAAATCATGAGTTACATGACCAACCTTGTTTGGTGTATAGTTGTCGGGATAAGGTTTCTATGGTTGGACGCAAAAATATGACAAAGAAGGCCAAACCGATGATTTGACCCTACATCAGGTGTAGGGCAGGACTGAATGTGACCAAGACTTCTTCCTCTTAATAGGAAAACAATAAAGGAAGCATATGAAGATCTGTAAGGTGCCCGAGTGGAAACTCAATGGTTGAAACTCAAGATTCCATACAAAAAGGACCAAAATCTCAATTCTCTTGAGTTTGAATCTTGAGTCGAGAAGGTGACATTGATGGCATAAAAGACCAAAATCACTTACAAAAAGAAATATTGAGCTCCATAAAACAAATAAAAACTGCATTCTATACTTACAAATACTACAGAAAACAGTATGGAATGAATGCACCTCAAATTTAGCCTCCAGGGACATTATATAACCTCGTAGTTATGATTAGGGATTCAACATGGAGTTAGCGTTTGAGGATTTTAAGCAAAATCAAAATTATAGCATTAGATCTTAGTGAACAAGGACTTTCTTTTCATTAAAAATAGCATTTATTTAAGCAAATTAAGGACATAGGGTTACAAAGGGTTGCCTCACCATACAAATGTAACACAAATTAATTAATATCCCTAATCCAAGGAAGGAAGAATACATTCTAGAAACAACAGCCAAGACCCAAGATTATTAGAGCTTTAGTCTTGTCTATTTTTCTGAGTGTAATTACCAAACCCTGTAAGGAGAAATGCAAATGAAGTATCTGAATCATCGAAGGGTGGTCGAGGGAACTCATGAAACCCACCGAAATTATATGTATCGAAGTTCAATGGTGAGAAATAACCAGAAGGATCATCAATGCCCCCTTTAACATCCACATTGCTTTGAACCCCACTTTCACTAGAAACATTGGAGGAAAAGTTGAAATTCATGATTCCAACCTTGTTAGTGGCTTGATTAGCATCTCCTCGATCAGATGGCCTATTGGATCCTTTAGTTTCATCCAAGGGAATTGCTGGAGTGTGGCCCTGGAAAAGGGCAATATGACCAAAAAGCTTATCTTTCCTTGAAAACGTGGTGCCGCAAGAACAAAGCCATTTATCTTTACCACAATGCTTCTCATGAGTTTTAAGATCAGCAATTACTGAGAATTTCTTGGTGTTGCATCTGCTGCAAATGTAGCTCTTGTCACAATGGGTTCTCTTGTAATGGTTTTTGACACATAAAATGGTCTTCAGAGGCTGAAACTTTTTGTGACCCTTATTTCGCTTGCAACCAACATAAGGGCAGGAATACCTCTTGATAAGAGTTGGTTCAGAGCTGGATTCTTTATTGGGTTTTGCCAGTGCTGCTGGTGTTTTGTACTCATCTCCATGACCTCTCATGTGCATTCGTAAATTTGCATCTCTCTTGAATCCTTTTCCACATATAGTGCAGAAGTGAGTGTGGGGTGCAAGGATTTCTTCCTTTTCTAACTGCAATATCTCATAGGTGCCAGGTAAAAGATTTTCTCCTTCCTCAGTATCTTCCTCATCCTTCAATTCATGTTCCTCAATTATAAGATTCTGCTCATTTCCACTGTTATTACTAATCTCAACAGAGTTTGGCGGCTCAGAGACTTTGCTTCCACCAGCATTTTGTGGCTGAACCCCATCATTCAGCCCTTGTCCAGAAGGGAAGACAACTTCACCAAACTGCCCAAACTGTCCAAGAGATGGAGTGGATGCAGAAAGTGTATGCTTCACAGATGGGAGAAGACTACCAAGAGTAGATATCAACTGAACAATAATTGAAGTTAGATCAGCAGTAATTAGCTGTTGTCGCTGAGCTACAAGTTCATCCAGTCGCCCCAAAACTTGGTCCCTCCGGCCAATGATTAAATTCACCAAATCCTGAAGCTGATGGATCTTCTGCTCAAGGAATGAGAGATTGTTTAGCATTGCACTTGGATCCCAATCTTGGACTTTACTGGCTTGAAGTGACTCATTAACAGGGCCATCTTGGATGGGGACTTTAATTTGGTTATGGGGATTACACAGCAATGAAGATTGAGTTTGAGAATTTTGGTTGAATGCCTGGAAAGGAGGTTCAATCCTGGTGCTGTAATCTAAAATGGATGGATCTTCCCACTTCTGCTGATGTTGGGTATTGAAATTGGTAAAAGATGGGTGTTGAGGAACTTTCTTTTGTAGTTCACCTTTAAGATCCATTTCAGGCCTTCTAAGATATCAAGATCCAAATACTATTCAAAACTCGAAAACATCAAGGGATTAGAAAATATTCATCAAAATTTCAATAAATTTCGATATAGAAATGAAAAATTGCCTACTGATGGAAAAACAGAAAGAATAGCCGAGGCATCAAATCATACGAAGAACCATTATACCCCAAATCCAAAATTTCCAAAACAATCAACTATCAGTAAAGATACTATTGTTTTGACCAGAACAATAATGTATTTTCAGCATAATCATGCAAGAAAACAAGAATCAAACTTCACAGCCAAGTTTACTCATGAAATCCAGCAACCTCCTTCCTTTTCCTACCCAAAGTCATAAAAGAAATAAACTGACTCACAGAATTGCAGAAAAACAGAAACTGGGTTTGTCAATTGAAAGTCAAATCAACTCAATCATCCCATAAATCTTCCTTAGATTGAACTAAAATCCCAGAACTCAATTCAAAGTTCCAGCAAGAGCTTAACCCTTACAAACTTGTATCAAACTAAAAATCTCATCTTTCTTGTTATCCAACTCCATTTCGTACTAGCTTTTGACATACACCTAAACTCTCTTTTTATTTTTTCAATCAAATTAGTAACTCAAACACCCAAAATATCATATCAAAATTTAATAGTAGCAGAAACAGTTGAAGCAAGTAAATTTGAAAAGATGTCAAAATTCTGCTAAATACCCAGATACAAAAATCTAATTTTTAGGGCTAACAAAGCTTAAAAATTAAAACTTTACTGGATTAAGAGACTTACTATAGATTCAAGATTGCTTGGATGCTGTTTGTTTAGTGCTTCTAAAGAAACAGAGAGGGAAAGAGGAAGGAGAAATGGCAAAGAGAAAGGAAGGTCGACACAGTCAATTTATCAGCAAAAGGCTCAGCACAGGTGGAAAGAAGATGGCTACCATGTTTCTAAGTGGGATAATAAACAAGTCAATCCCATCAATCATGATCGTTGATTTTTTTTCTTTGAACTGCTACAGTCCTTTTTCTCCTTCTTATTGTGTGAAATCTATCAAAATCAATGAGATTGAAGCATAAAAGATCAGAGCCGTTGGTGGGTAAATCTCAATCCTCTCATTTGAGTAATTTTTAATATATATTTTTTGTTTTAAGAGAATAGTAGCTTCGCAGGAGGGTGGAGGCTGAAAGGAGACAAAAGACTGAAGTGAGAAAGGAAGAAGGAAGGGAACCCACACAACTAAGATGATATAGATTGTCTTTCTGTCTGCTTGATGATAAAATAATGATCAATAATCAATGAACACTAACCATTTGACTTTTTTCTTTTATTGTTTTTAATTATTTTTTTTTTCTTTAGTATGAATATTCGGAATGAATTGGTCGGAAGGAAGGGTACCAGGAAGCTAAGCTAGCGCCAGATCCGAGGACCATTTTTTTTTCTTTCTTCTTCCTATTGCTTCGTTGAAACGTGGTCAAGCATGTAGATTCGGCCCGTCTCTTGCATTGAGTTTCATAAAAAAGAAGGAAAATAAGAAAAATAAAAATACAAAGGAAGTAAACATTTGTTCCACGTTATGTTTAGCATAAAGGATGAAGAGTAAAGAAAAAATTAAAGATTAAATTGTAAATAAATTCTCAATTTAAATTAAATAAATGTTTTTTTTGTCACAATAAATAAATATTTTTTCAAAAATTGAATTTAAAAAATGTGTAAGTGCACTTTAATTTTTATCCAGCCTCTTGTTTTTCTCTTATCAAATGAAGGAAAAGATGAAAAGAATCATTTGTTTTCTTCATCTTTCTTTCCTATCAAATACATAGTTACCTTTTTGTTAATTACCTTTATACCTTCTTAATCACCAAGATGTGTCCGATTAATACAAATGACAAATTTTGACCTAATCCATGAAATGCAACTTAATCAGCATGAAGTTTAATCTTATTATAAATCAATAACACAGTAAAATAATCTAACTCAAATAAAATAACTCAAATCTAGAATGATTTCAAGGCAAAATGACTCGTATTCTACTTAATCCAACTTAAATTAATTTGAAATATGAAATTACTTTACATTTGTGTTGACCTAAACTCAACTTGAATCGATCTAAAATTTGATATTAACCGAATTGAGTTAAAATTCTATGTAAATCAATCTCAAAATATCTAATGATGTTTATATATCTAAAATTTTGATAAATAAAGTTAAATATTTAATGCATATTCAAATTGAATAACCACTTATGAAAAATAAATGTTGAAAATAAATCAAAGAAACATGCAGAGAGATTTTAAAAATATACATATATATGAAAAGATTGAAACTGAGAGGTAAGGTGATATGTATATAAAATTTTATAATTAATATACTATTTCTTCTTTTATTTTAAGAAATTAGTGTATTTAATAAAAATATTTTTTGAAATAAAATTTTGAATAACTTTTTTCGTTACAAAATTTAAATAACCTTAATTATTGTATATAGAGAATCAATTAAACCTTTAAAATATAATTTTACTATCCTCAACCTCTTTGCGTATTCATGTAAAACTTGTTAATCATCATTTATATATACATGGAGAAATAATCCGCTAAAGTCAATATCAATTGTTTAAATGTGACACATTAAATCTTGTATTATGTCAATACACCCGATGATTCTAAATTTTACAAAAATTATAATATTATCATGTATTCATTTCATTATTAAATATTTTTTCTAATTTTTTTATATGTTGTATTTTATTAATTTCACATATATATATATATGTATAATATTAAAAAAAACACATGTCAACCTTAATTTTACTTGTAAAATTTAAAAGTTTTACCATCAATTTTTTAAAATCTCCCCTAGATAAGTTATCCCTCTTGGTAAAAAAAAAAACTCTATTCTCCAATTAAACTCCACTTTTTGAGTTTAAATTTAACGGTAGAATATATTTTTATACTGTGATTGTAAAATGTAATTTTTCAATTTTTGATTAATTTGATTTTATAATTCTTATAAACTAAACCAAAGGACAAGACAAAACCAGAGAGTGCATGTGCCGCACATCTATAAAAAATGTCATTACAACGCCAAATATCTCTTTTTTTTAAAATATTTTTAAATAGAAAAAAAATCAAATTAAACTATAATTAACATAGAAACGTACCATTAACATACCAATTATGATACATATTTTGTTTAAAATATTTTAAATAAAAAAATCAAATTAAAACTATAGTTAACATAGAAACGTACCACTAACATACCAATCATATAAAAATACATTAAAAATTACAAGAAACGAAATATTTAATTCAAGGATAATTGAATGTATTTTATGTTAAAAACCAAGTTTAGATCTTCCTGTATATTAATTTTTTAGTTACTTTTTTTTAAATATTATTTTTTTGGTTACTTGGAAATTAAAATTGCGTAAATATCTACAAATCAAATCGAAAGACTCTTTAGCATTTAACCACCAATAATCGAAAATTTGGCAACGTCAAGTTGAACAAATTGTCCAATTCAGGGTTACTGAATTGAAATATGACTGATGTGACAAACATTATCTAAGTCGACAGCCTTTGTTGGCGCTTTTTCGCTAGTTAACTGCATTTGTCAAAAACCTGTTGAAAGCGTCGGTTATGTACGTGTCGAGAAAATAGCGGCGCTTCTCACCTGTAACAATCCTATTTAAAAGCTGGATTATCCGTCTATCTAAAAAATTCGTTCAAAATTTTAAAAAAGAGACTTTCAAAATATACCATAAAAATTTTTTATACACTTTAATTTTTTTAATATTTATATAATAAATTTTAATTTTAATTTTTAATAAATAATAAAAATACTCTTCAATAATTTATATACTCCAAAACTTCATTTGTAAATCTTAAAATTAAATTTCGAGAATTATATTATATTTTCGATAATTTACTTTTAAGAAAAAAATATAATTCTTGAAAAATTATTTTTAAAAATATAATATAATTCTCGAAAAATAATTTTTGAAAATTATATTGCATTTTCGAAAATGAATTTTCAAAAGTAATCTTGTATTTTCTAAAATTTATTTTCAAAAATATAAATTGTTGATTAAATATATATTTAATTATAAACTTTTGATAATATTTAATTTTAATTTAAATAAAATAAATATATTTAATCTTACAATAAATAATACATAAATAAATAAATTCGATGTGCTAAGATCTCCAAATGTTTCTAATGATATTTCTTAGGTTGGCTTAATTCTAACAATAAGGATATCTAACATTTAGGCTAATATCTTAGTAGCCGAAAAATATTGAAGGTCGAAAAAATAGAGATCTTTACTGTCAGATTTTTCAGTCTGCTGATGACAATGTCAAGGTCAATATTCTATAGGGTGTTTGAACTCAAACTAGCATGCATACATATATATGAGTTATCGATATGTCCATTCTTATTTGATTATATGTGCAAATGGAAGAAACATACTAGTTCTCAAGTATGCACAGGTATAAAAGTATTTTTGTCTTGAAACCAGAAAACCAAGAACACATTTTTGCCTATACAAAACAAAAAATCACAAAAGAGTATTTTCGATTTTCTAGAAACTCAATAGAAAGAATAAGTTTATGCCATACATGTTGAGAACATCGATTTTAGTTTCATTCACACACATGATCAAGTAAATAGGTTCATAAACGCATGATTAAGATTTTCAGTGATTAAAAGTGAAATCGAACTTTTCAAATATATATATCCAAGAAAACTCAAAGTTTCTCATATATTCATTTTCGAGAAAGCTCAAGACTTCTTGAAAATAGATATCCGAGAAGTCTTGACTCTTTTAAAATATTCATATTCGAGAATCGTTGAGACTTCTCAAAATGGATATATGAGAATCCTTAAAACTTCTAAGATTTTCATTTTTGATAAACCTAAGAACATTTTGGATATTCATTTCCAACAAGTTCAATTTCAGAAAGTGAAGAAGGAAAAAAAGAGAAATGATAAGAATGGAAAATAGAAAGTGAGGGTGGAGGTATATTTACTAGAAATAAAAAATTGAATTTTAAATTTATGATTTATTTAGAAATATGGTGTACAGAGTAGAAACTCAGATGTAAATAGAATTCCTTTTTAAAAAATTTTGAATATAAAATTTAGATTAATTTAAAAATAAAAGTCAATCTTTGACCATGACATTGAAGATTTAGATTCAATTTAATTTGAATAATTTTTATATGTTTTTATATTTATAATTATATTATATAAAAATAAATATAATTAAATAATATATATTGATCATTAATATCATATGTTTATAATCATTAATTTCATCTAAACATCAAATTAAATTAATAATAATAATTTTTAGATTTCATTTTGTTGATTATTTATTTTTCATAGTTATTATAAAATTATTTTTAATTTTAAAAATTGAAATATAGACAAGTTTGAGCAATTTATTTAAAATGGGTCAAGCTTCAACAACAAAATTAAGCCCATATTTCATATTAGGTCGAACTTGATCAAACCTAAAATTTATTAATATCATGCTTAAGCTTGAGTCAAATCTTACTCAACCAAGTCATGCACCATAACTGTTCCTAAAATTAGGATTTTTTTTTGCTTCACTTCCAATGCTTTTTCAACTTATTGCTTGTGGTTGTCAAAATCTATATTTACTAGTATCACATCCCACGCATTACTATGAATTTTTAATTTTTTTATGGTATTGTTTTACCATTTTCATTAACACAAACAATATAGTATATGCTTCCATTGCTTTCCATATTGAAAAAGAACCTCGCTTTCCACTACTATTTGATTTCTATTTGTTCTGATTTGTTCATTGTTACTTTTATTTTTGCAATGTTGAATCAATTTGTTGCTTAGTCTTGTGTTCTTTCTTTGCTAATTATATTTTAGACTAATATTCCAACTATAAATAGAGAGTTGTATAAATAATAGTAGATGTGAATATCAATTGATATGCATGAATTCAATTGTGTATTTTTATTTTTTGATTGAAATCATATAAACTTAAAAATGATACTTGTGATTTTTATTCAAATGCAACTACCATTTTATTCATAAGCAAATCAAACACAATTCATGACAACAAATAGTGATAGTTTGCAATGTTTATTGATGAATAAAATTTAACTCTATGAGTGAGATTAAGTGGATGAAAAAAAGCCAACCTTAATAGGATTGATGCTTGAAAATTTTTATTATTTCTATGATAAGAAAGATAGAAAAATGTTTTACAAACAATATGAAAATTAAAACATGTTACACTTTTAGTCAATTTTTTTTTGTATGGAAAACAATATATACTTAAGAACAGAAGTTACATTTAAAAAAATCATGCAAACTACTTCTTGCTAGCAATAAATCTTAAATTTTCAAACATTGTGTTTTTAATTCAAATGAATTGGATCCTTTAAGATATATAGGCATATTTTATAGAATCAAATAAAAATTTGTTCATGTATGATGAGCTTATTGTTTTGAAAGTCATTAGCATTTATCTACTAGCAAATGTATATTATTGTTTAAGACATATAATACAAATTAAAACAGAATAGCAAAAATCTTAACTTT